AGAGAGGGCGCAATATTTACTGGTTCCCGATGGCAGAAAGTGTTCCGTCCGTGGCTGTACAAAAGGTAGGCTTAGCAAGGGACTCACCAGCTTAGCACCCAGTAGCTTGGAATTGCCGCTAACATTGTGCGGAAAATCGTGGCACTTTGACACAGGATAGGCCAGGGACTACCAATTTCACCCCGGTTATTTCCCACACTTGTGCTACAAAGTCCCCGCATATATACCCCATAAATGCTGTAACTCCAACCATATTTCCACACTTGTGCTACCAAGTCCTTGAAAAATATACCCCGTAAATGCAGCACCTCCCCGTATAGAAATATTTAAAAGTGAGCCCGCCGGGCCTGTATGTTTTAACTCGAGCGTTGCCGTGTATGGGTGATTTTCATTCCTCAGTTTTTTATTTTTAAATCAGACACTCTACTTGGCCTTTTCCTGGCTACGCTAGTTTAATAATTTATTAATATTATTAATAATAATGGTTAATGAATAAGAGTTAGTCAGAGGTCTTATTTATGGTTATGTATAAAGAAGCCTGAAGGTGGCGCTCTTTATGCGGTGGCCATCTTGGATGGGGTACACATACACAACTCTGCATTGCTTTGTTGCATAGTCAGCATTTTAGTTATTTAATAAATAACTCTATGGGCTTCTCCCATCAAATGTTTTAGACTTAAACGATCATATGAGTAAAAGCTAGTATTCTACTAATAGCAAACTGTGTGTACTATTAAAGAAATTTTAAGAGGGTATATTATTTTCCAGTCTTGCCAGATGTTGATTTATTATCTGCTGCATTTGATACACAAACACTTAAAGCACAAACATGCAAGTTCCATTTCAATGAAAGTGAGTCAAAACAATAAGAAATTTACTTGCTGCTAAGTTTATTACCTTTACCATACAGCAAAGTGCTGTGAAGAGTAGTCAAGTATGCTACTTACAAAGACAGTATGGGTGTGGTGCAGTGCTGTATGGTGCAATGCAATGTTGATAAAGCCAAGGCATTCCAACCCCCACCCCCACTCACCCAACCAGGACTGGACCCCCATGGTCTGGTGCCTCAGACTAAGAATAATAATTTGGCTATTGAAGAAACATTCATTCGATTGCCAATCCCTGACACAATGGTCTAAAAGCACAATTTGAACTGTACTATTAAAACCATATAAACTCTCCCTAGTAGTATTAAGGGACTTTCATTCCGGGTTCACTAACTGAGGCTCTATTAACTCCTTGGTTCAGTAAAACATATTACTTTATTTATTTTTTCAATTATATCAACTATCAGCAGTAGCCTTTTCATCCTCATCTTTTAATCCTTTTCTTTCAATAAATAAGGCTATGTTCTCACACGGCAGCTAACGGTTAGCAGGATCCGGATCCTGCTAACCGTTAGCTGTTGTGCGTCCATGCGAGGAAATCCCGATCCGGATACCAACAATATGATGATCGAATCACTGGCCAAAAAGAAACTGGAAATTGTAAACGCGTATGTGTGATTGGTTGATGATAGAAACGCCCTCAACTTGCTAACCGTTAGCGTATCCGGATACCGCTAACGGTTAGCTCCCGATCCGGATACTACGGCTCTCATGAGAACCAGGCTCAAGTTACAGTATAAACAATAATTGTACTTGATTAGACTGTATTTGCTAGGTAACTGCTGTATACTGAATTATGTCATACCCTTTTCATTAATAACTGAATGCAAAATCATTCAACCCATTCTCTAATATATGTTATCTTACAAATTTATACAAAAAGGAAGTAGTCGTGTGTGCATTACAAATGCAACTAGAAATCTAACAATAGGATTTGAGGTCTAACAATGACAGGTATTACTGATAAGCTGTTAATATGCCACTCTCATAAATCTGACAGATTGAATCTCTTTTTGTGGACGAGTATTGTTCTCATTCCGGAACTGTCTGGTTGTCAGCAGTAACACACTGTCATCATTTCAACCCAAACTAAGAGTGAAAACATCATTGCACATAAAGTTAAAATGACAAAATTTCATAAACAACTTAAAAACTCATAGTAAATAAAAACAATATAATCAGCACACAAATATCTTAGGCCAAATAAAATGAATAATTGTTAGTTTTATGTGAGGATATTAACTATTTCAGATTCACTAACTGGTCAAAAATAAACCTTTATTTTTTGAAATCAACATTATTCACGGTTGGAGGGAATGTCTTTCCATATTATCATGTTTTCTGCACTAAAGTAGCTGGCCAGTGGCATCTACAAGTCAGCATCAAGGATTTCCATTGGGTGGTGCACTGGGTGTTAGATTAAAATGATGTTATTTAATAATAAATTTTATGTTCTCAGCTACAGTATCATAAAAATGTGGACTTTTTCTATTTGAGGTGGTTTATACACACCCTTCTCGCCCCTCCCAGATAGGGGTCTGATCTAAAAAGACGAATGCCAAAGATACACTTATATTTGCCTATAGTTTAAGTTTAAATATGTTGAGATTATTAAGTAACTTGATGGTATATGCTTGCCATCCAATATCATGTGGGGTACAAATATTGTGATATCGAGAACCAAAAACAATTACATTCCTTAGGCTCAGAGCATCTATGTAGACAACTTTATTTGTTGCTAGACGTAATAAAAAGATATAGATGAAAATGAATAGCTTTTTGAAAATTGAGACTTATGTGGTCACTAAGTGGTGGTGCAGCTAGTGGTGAAGCAGGGGACATAAGCCTGTGTACAGTTAGGACAAGCCATGCAGTTATACAGTAATACCTCCATGGACAGGCCAAGCCACAATAACCACATGACCAGGACTTGGAAAAAAGTTAAATGGTGTTTTTCCTCCCTTTTTAAAATTAAGTAGAATACTAATACAATGGATTATAAAATAAACACAAGAATTTTGACTCTAAATCCATTTGTCAGAGTCTACTGTGTAGTATTCTCAAGGACTGGTTCAATGCAAATATTTAATAATTTGTCATGGTACTGAAGATAATAATGTTGATGAATTATAATTACTGTATACCATAATTATGTTTACATATCTTAATTATTATTTTTTAATTATTATATCCATTAATTTATATAATTTTTAAAATTAAATTCTTTATTATTCCTATGATCAGTATATAATGTAATAAAAAAATGAATAAAAAATTATTTTACTTTATTAGTTTCTGATCAATGATTACATGTTTAGCTATATTTAATTTATATATTTTCCCTTTCTTTTCCATATATAGTAGTTCACTTAGTTACTTTTTAGTATTTTGTTAGATTACTGATATTATAATAGGACTACATTATTTATAATATTGTATTGTATATTTAAGACTGGATTAGTGCAGTTCACACACTTGTTGTTACAGTGATTAAGTTCACTTTTGTGTCCCTGCCCACTCATTCTATTTATTGCTGCGAAGCAGCCAATTCATATTCTCGACAGCAATTTGACCTCTGAAAGGTCATTGTTTGTCAAAAAACGAGCGCCTAAGACGACTGAAAAGCGGAGTTTCCTTCTTTCATTCTGCCGGGTAAAATCAATTACTTTAGGCGACGTTTGTAGACTAACCAACACGTACCAACGTCCGTTGTCACGCTAGCCTTATCCTACTCTACTGTAGGCCTAGACTAGCTAGGATGGTATAGGCCTAGCCTTGAAGGGACAAAGGTCCCAATGAAAAACAACGTCGCTCCTTGATAGCTAACATTGTCTATTTAACATCACAATAATTCATTATTAGAACCTATAGTTTGTTTTTTGAATTGTACTCCACAAATCTCAGCCGATACCTCGCACAACTCGAGTAACGTCTCGTATCTATTGTCGTGACGTCATGGCTCGCTGGCTCACACTTGCGATGTCTCGCACTTGTGTTCAAATAACACACTGGCTCACACTTTGGCAACACTCTTTGGCAGTCAACTCGCCCCTAGAAAACCTGCTCTTGGAAACTTACCCCATAAAAAAATGTACACTTCCTAGACCATGCAGTCTTCAAAATAAAAATTGTAACCTTTGGTAATCAACTACATTTTCCACATACATAGAAATTTTTGAAACTTTATTAAAAAACCTAAACCATAATTCACCACTATAGACACTTTTGACAAAAATGAAAAATTACGACTTTTTTACCCAATGAGAAGTGTTCTAATATAGACAATGGGTCGTGTGTCATATTATTTGTTATATTTTTATTATTCATTTTTTTCACTTGACTCGTATAAATAATTTTGTTCGAAGAACATTTATACGCAGGTGTACTTCGCAGCACTTCACTTGCAATTTGCAATTTCTAGTTGTACCACTATTGCATTGTACTTTGTTTTATTGACGAATAAAGAATAAGAATATAATTTGATGATCTGGCAAAACCATAGATCCATTATAATGTGAACTATTTTAGTAAAAATGTAGATTCCATAATTATATTTAGGAACATAAATACATTATTAGTGAAAATCATAAAACATATCATTAATGCATGAGTGGAATTTATGCATCACTACGTTTCAAGCAGCATTATTAGATCGTATCATATTCCCTTGCCTTTATCACTTTCATATTTTTCTAGGCCCAGTAACCATTAATTCTTTAATGGGGTTTCCTAAGGAAGCCAAAGGTCAATGTGTACCTACTGCGTGGCTCTCAAAAAATCCCTTTGCGCTCTGACCAAAATATCGCTCAGTGCTTTTCATCATTGATTGGAATTGGCATTATATAAATCTTTGGAATATTAATATTATTTATGTAGGGCCACATTCTGAAACCACAAAATCAGTCAATGGGGCATAGAAAAAAGTATTAAATTAATTTTCTTTTTATATAATACAAGCAAATGTCAGTAAAATAATTTTTTCAAAAACAAATTCATCATACTATGTTGATCATTTTCAAAAAATATAAAACAACACAAAATATAAAACATTAGAAAAATTTACCATAATTATAAATGATACAATAAAAGATATGAAAAACATTATGAACATACCTTGAAGTCCCTCATAGCTTGGTTGAACTCCAGTTGACGGGGTTGTTTGCGGTTCGATCTCCTAACATTGTTCACAGGCTCCCCAGTCGGTGTTGTATGATGGTGGTGGTGGCTGCCATGATTACTCTTCTTCTTTTTTGTTTTCGTTGAACTCAATGGTTGTGTTTCGGGAGCAGAGGCCATATTACCAGAATTCTAGGCATACAACTGCTGTACAAATTTAATTAGGCTATAAACCCACCAGTATATAGGTACATTGGAGAAACTTCTGATATTGGAGTTGTAATCTTGAAATCACCGAGACCTAAAATACACCTTAGAGCGGAAAAGAAATGTATTTTAAATTGTTTAATAAGTATTTAGAGGTATTAGTGATAACTACCGTAAAACCTCAAGTTGAAGCCCTGGGCTTCTTTTTTTTTTTTCTTTTTTTTTTTTTTTTT